CAGTCCTTCTTTGATAGGCGGCAGTGGATTAGCAGCCAAAGCATTGGATTTCAGCTAATTTGTAATGAGTATTTAGTAATGATAATAATAGGAGTTAGTTTTTGAATCCAAAGCCACAATGGGCCAACTTTGAGTCGAACGTGTAGAATCGAACCACAGATTTTAGGGTTGTATGTCCATAGACATTAAATAGAACTGGATACTTGAATGTTTCTAACACAGGGATAGCAGTGCCTGCAAAGGATGGTGGTAGTTTGTCCTCATTAACATATCTCTTGTTGAGTGTGCAGAACACGCCTGTAGTATTGAGAAAAATTGTGATCATTTCTGTGGCATTGCACCATTTTGTCACTCTGCTATAGCATGTTTGTTTCTTGCTTTCATTCTCAACTTTGCTAGCAGAACCTCATTGTACATAGAATGACATCAGCTCATGTTATCAAAACACCTGGTTAGACTATCAAGGCGAGCTTAATCCATGGCATAGTTAAAGACATTGGTTAATGTACCTACACATGATAGCCTTGCCTTAGTCTTCGACAGTACATATGGGGATAAAATCTTCGTTGTAAATGTCTAATATCACAGTGTTTTTGGTTCCTGTGTCAGCCACAAGCTTTTAGAAATGCAACAATGATATATGCTTGTGAGATTAGCCTTGCTGCACGTTCATCCCTTTTCATGTTTTGTGCCTTAGAAGCAAAGGCTCTATATATTTCGTACAATCTTTGCCTGCTCTACCCTAGTTGCGCTATTCCTTATCCGCATGAACTCAATTTGGGCTTCATTGCATGTTTTTCAGGCTTTATCACTATCACTGTTCCATCAGTATGAATGTTCCTTTTATAGAAGTTATTACTTTGACTTCATTCAATGGTGGAGGGATGCTTGAGAGTAAGAGCACTGCTTGAAAGGTTGGAGCCTTTGTATGGGTTTTTATATCGTTTTATACCACTTTGTAATCCAGTTTCACGTGTATCTCATACATGATGTTATGATTCCAAATATTTTATCTTCTATGCCAGTTAGAGATAACACTCAATGTGGGATTGGCGAAAGGAAGGTCTATACAGGAGTGTGTTTCATCTTGGCACTCAGAGATTTTTATTGGCTCATCGAGTTTAGTAGTATAATATTAGTGGTTATGCAGTGGAAACCATGATTTAAATATTTGCTTGATGATCTGCCAACTTACCTAGTACACGTGGCGCTATCTGGTACAGCTTGCAGATCTGAATTGTGTTCCTCCTTGATCTCTTATTCTAGAGATTCATTCGCCGTAATGTTGCACACAACAAGGATTCATGTGGTTAACACTGGGATTGGTCTTAAGTCTGTCTCAGACTTAACGTCTTGAACATGTACTGAAACTAAACTAACTCTAGAATTAGTGATAATTCTCTAATTGTACTTTGAATTCAATTCATTGTACCTTTAATGTAACTAAGACTAAACACTAGAGCTTTAACCAAACATTGTAAAAGTGTACTATGTTTATAACAACACATCATAATACTGTATGTAACAAACTCAAAACATGAGCTAACTCTGTACTTCAAATTAAAACTTGTACTAAACCTACACAGTTGTAACTCTGTATTGTACTTAAAATATACACTTGGCACACTATTCGTATATCTATAAATTAACAGTTGGTAACTGTGTAATAAATCTCTACCTAATCTTATGGTGAATTGGTACTATTATTAGTTACAAACAACAGCAACTTGCAGGCCATTATAAAACCTAATATTTTAATTGACTGGTTGCTTTACACGCTTGAGGAGTTTAGCACAGGCCAAAGCACACACGTTCGCTTTTCTCTAGTAATTGTGTCTCGTCACAGCATGTTTGCCAGTGCGCAGTACAAGGTGGGTGACATCGTACATAATTCCAAACAAATGTCCACAGGGAGGAAACCATCCGGTAGCATCCATTGTAATTCTATTTACTTCTTATTATTTATTATTGTGTAACTTTTGAATTTTATCTATTTATATTTTTGAAAATTTAACACCAAGTACACTTTGTAAATATGATGTTTTAATATCATTATTCTACTACTATTATATGTTTGAGAAGTTTGGCACAGATTCTTCTCTCTCCAATAATCTCTTCAAGATTCTTTTAGAAAGAGAACATTAGCAGAACTAAACAGTTTTGGCCAAGGGTTAGTAAATGATGTGAGATATCGTTCACACGTTATATACCTATTCACATATAAAACTGATTGTAAAATGATAATTGTTTGTATGTAGTCAAGCACAAGGAAACACAATGAGCTATGTCTGCGGACTTACAACGCTAGAAATAGGGTTTTGATACCAGTGGTGGGCAGAGCACAGATAGTCCATTGTGTAGCATATCTGAGATGCTTTGTCGTCTTTTTTTTATCTTTACACGTAATTTTTATCTTTTTTTTTCAAAAACAGATCCACTTCACCCAGCTAAGTACATCTACTTCTTTTTTTTTTTAGAATTTCACCCCTGCTTACAGCTGATTACAGAACTATTACACAGTAAGTGATGTTCCTATTATCTTGAGTAAGGGGTAGATGGGGCAAAAGTAAGAACTGGAGAGCGAAGCGAGAAAATGTTGTCTTAAAAAGTATCCAAAGTGGAGTGAAATGTACCCCTTCTGCCATCTTGCGTAGGCATTTATAAACAAGTGAAAAGCCAGGAACATAAAGATCAATGCTGTAAAAGCTGTCCACGTGTTCCAGCAACAGTATTCAATATAATCAAGAAGGATAGCCACTGCATCCACTACATATCCATTCAACCGCTGTATATCTCAAGTAGCTGGAGATTGAATGGGTATTGATGCTATTCCATTTTGATTTCTTTGTGATCGGATTGTTGAAACGTGCTCTCAGAAACTGCCTTCTTCGTACACTAAGTGGACTATGAAAGTGTGCAAGGAAAAGTGATGTGCTTTTGACATGACATCCTAACGACGGAACTTTTGTAATGGAAGCTACCTTGCAGGGCTATTATCAACAAACACTATCGGTAGACGTGGTGACTTGGACTGTAATAACTTGATAAAACTCCAAATTAATTTTAATATAACGTAATACACCCTCTGTATACACAGTAGTGGTAATTATGCTTGCATTCTTACCTGATGCTACCACAATAGTGTGTTTCTCACTTGATTATAGTATTGTTGCATCATAGTGGTTGTTATTGTTTCCTTATCTTAATTGAGTCTTTGTTTTGTTTTTTGTTAATGAATTTCGCCCAAAGCTACACAAGGGCTATCTGCGCTAGCCGTCCCTAATTTAGCAGTGTAACACTAGTGGGAAGGCAACTAGTCATCACCACCCACCGCCAACTCTTGGGCTACTCTTTTACCAACGAATAGTGGGATTGACCGTCACATTATAACGCCCCCACGGCTAAAAGGGCGAGCATGTTTGGTGGGACGGGGTGGGAACCCGCGACCCGCAGATTGTGAGGCGAGCGTCCTACCCACCTGGCCATGCCGGGCTCTCTCCAGGCCCAACCTATAGGTGGGTGAATGTATGACTCAACGCTGTTACTTGTCAAAATAAATATTGTTCAAAAGTTAAACACCGTTCTGTTACACTGCAGAAATGTGTGCTTGTGTTTTCCTATGGCAAAGCCACATTGGGCTATCTACCGTGTCCCCCGACTGGAATCGAACCCTTGATTTTAAGGTTACAAATCCGAAGACTTACCGCTCTCCCACCGAGGGACTACAAAAATGACAGATACATAAAACTAGTAAATACAACCAGTACGAAGTAGTCGATAAGTCGCAACTCTGAAAAAAACCCTAGTAACTACAACCAGTATGAAGCAATCGACAAGTCACAACTCTAACTAAACGCTCGTAAATACAACCAATATGAAGTAGTCGATAAGTCACAACTCTGATTTGTGTATAGTCTGAAACGTGCAGCTGTTTTCTCGTTTGGAAAAATATTAACGTGATGTATCAAAGTAGATATTCAACAAATCAAAGTTAATCTTTTTAGCCTCATTGAAATGCCACAATATATATATTTTGGAACCTCAATGCTACTGCAAAACTATTTCATAAGCGTCTATTTATACATATAGTCTCATACTTACGTGTAATTTCTACCAGGACAGCTTTTCACACATTCTCTCGGAGGGGTTCGGTTAGGATTATAATAAAGGTACCTGTTTAAAAGAACACTTTCATTTAAACATTCACATCCATGAGTATAGTTTATTTTTTTAATAATACAATTGATTGAGAAGGTAACTGAATGTTAACCTAAAACACGAATAACAAACAAATGGCAGCTACAGAACGATGTTACCTGAAAATACGAAGCAATTATTAATACTGTTGGAAGGTAAGAAAAAAAAAGCCTGATTAGGGTGGCTTGTTTGAAACACCATCCGCTTATTTTACTTTCGCTTAAAGAGATTATAATTGTTTGTTATTTTCAATTTAAATCTTAACCTGTTATTGTTCCCTAATTTCTTCAGTGGTATTTCAAGTCATATAAATGAGAGTTAACTGGTAAAATAAAAGATTTACTATGATAAGAGAGGACAACTTGGTAAATAAAAGATTTACTGTGTTAAGAGAGGACAACTTGGTAAAATAAAAGATTTACTGTGTTAAGAGAGGATAACTTGGTAACATAAAAGATTTATTGTGATAAGAGATGAAAACTTGGTAAAATAAAATATTTCCTGTTATAAGAGAGGACAACTTGGTAAAATAAAAGATTTCCTGTTATAAGAGAGGACAACTTGGTAAAATAAAATATTTCCTGTTATAAGTGAGGACAACTTGGTAAAATAAAAGATTTACTGTGATAAGAGAGGAAAACTTGGTAAATAAAAAACTTCCTGTTATAAGAGAGGACAACTTGGTAAAATAAAAGATTTACTGTGTTAAGAGAGGACAACTTGGTAAAATAAAAGATTTACTGTGTTAAGAGAGAGAGGACAACTTGGTAAAATAAAAGATATACTGTGTTAAGAGAGGACAACTTGGTAAATAAAATATTTCCTGTTATAAGAGAGGACAACTTGGTAAAATAAAAGATTTCCTGTTATAAGAAAGGAAAACTTGGTAAAATAAAAGATTTCCTGTTATAAGAGAGGACAACTTGGTAAAATAAAAGATTTACTGTGTTAAGAGAGGACAACTTGGTAAAATAAAAGATTTCCTGTTAATCTACACAAAAAAACATCACAACATCTTTTACCCTCTCCATCTCCACTTACATTTTTTTAACTCTGCGTGCTTTATAATATTTGCAGAACCTTCTCATTCATTCCAAACAATTGTTTTATTTTACACATTATCGTCTATCTCTGTTCTTCCTAGTCCTAATTCTTTTCTTCTATTACCAGTATATTCTTCTTCTTCCTCATTCTTCCCCCTTGCGTCTTCCAGTAATTCGAAATCTCAAATTCTAAATCCCAATCAGTCATTTATTACTTTTTCATTACTTTAAATAAAATAAATGGACTTACGGTTTATCAACGGTGTTTTGACCCGACTGATGAGCACCGGGGATTTCTACATTTTTTTTTCCACACACGTTGCCATAGCTGTCACAACCATACAGCAATCGTTCCGGTTCTCCCTTTTCCACAGCAAGAAAAATCACATAACCCTAAAAACAGATAATATTTATTTTATAACACTTAATTTTTAAAACTCCATTTCTTGTGATACAGTACAACTCCAATTAAAAACAATATGGATTATTATAGCTTGTAATATACATAAATTCGTCTTGTCTGTGGCCAATTACTATAGCTTGTAATATACATGAATTCGTCTTGTCTGTGTGGCCAATTAGCTTGTAATATACATGAATTCGTCTTGTCTGTGTGGCCAATTAGCTTGTAATATACATGAATTAGTCTTGTCTGTGGCCAATTATTTAGCGTGCCAGAATTGTGAATTCAAAGATTCATCTTTTGCGACTGGTTGCCGCAGAAACATTCAAAACTCTTTGGAAACTCTTTCAATTAATCAGGAGTTGGCGGTGAATGCTATTGACTAGCTGCCTTCCCTCTAGTCTATAACTTCAAAAGTAGGGACGTTTACGTGCAGATAGCCCTTAATTGTGAAATTTTGCGCAAAATTCCGAAACAAAAATTTTTGTTTATTATAAAGAAATTGGGGTATCTAAGTTATAAGTTACATACCGAGAATAACAGTCTTTGAGAGTCTTATGGCAAGATGAGCTTTGTCGTTTTCAAAAAAAGAAAATATTAAGCCTGTATATAAATTAATCACTGCATATCACTATATTAAATAAAATTATTACAGAAAGAAATGCAAGGAACCATTCTTGATGCAGTTTCAAATAATTTAAGAACTTTGGTTCTGGTTTTATATCTGCGCGCGAGCATGTGTGTGTGTGTGTATTGAACTTTTTAGCCACATAATTGAGGCTATTTAATCTTGTAAAAGAGGTTTTTAGATACTTTGCGGACGAACTTGAAATGAGTTTAAGTATTTAGGTGAGGCACTATGTGTGGATAGTGTCTGTATATCTGTGTTACAATGGGATAAGTTGGTAGTAAAAATTGTATGAATCTGTGGAGATTACTGTAGTGTTCTATTTAAACTTATGGTAATGGCTTCAATCAACAGCTATTGTATAAATCATATGGACATTATTCTAAGTATTCAAAATACCCTGTGCAGATAGCTACTTTAAGTACATCTAAATACGAATGGAATAAAATGGAAAAACTATTCGTGAAATCAACCAAGTAAAAAGGATAATTACATTTTTAAAGTTATGTAAACAACGTAAAAAGGAATAGAGAAGTGTTATGAAGATCTAAGTCTAGTAAATAAAAATATCTTTAAAGGTTCTTCAAAAAAAAAGAAATGTTATAAAATTTAGAAAGAATAAATAAAGAAAAAACAAACGGTCTTACCAGAAAGCCACAAAAAGTCGCAAACAGCAAAAGAAATATTACATCTCTGCATTGTCGGTCTCTTATTGGTCCTTCAAAATTTTCGAAATCCTGAGGGACTGTTCTTCCATTTACCTGAAAGAAAATAATTTTGAATCAGGAGGCGCTAGTACTCCACTATGTTATTAACTTACGATCAACCATAAAAAAAGAAGAAATGCATGTGATGTTGGAAGTTTGAAGTCAATTGTACAAAGAAAACACGCGTGAGTAATGATACTACAAAATCTAGCCGATGTGACTCGAATAATTATTTGACAAAAAAGCTTCGGCATCTTTTGAACAAAAAATCTATATGTTTCCAGTTAGTGAAACGTCAACGTCTCTGACGATAAGTTAAAACAGAGCATACAAACAAACAGGCTATACTGAATATCTATTGAAGCAAAAGGCTATAGTTGTTGTGTGATGTGTATAGCTAAGTATATAAACTCACAATAAGTGTTTAGAAAAATAATTCAGTTGTCTATTAATCTCAGAAATCTTGTTTACTGAAATATTCCATTATGCACCTATTCATGTTAATAAAGGTGTAGTTACGCCAAAGATAGTCATACAGTTTAAAGGACATGAGATGTTTCGGTAGACCCAAGGGTTGTCGAAACACTTCAGGTCATTCATATTGAACCAATGGTATTTATAGGATTTTTTTTTTTACTGGGGGGGGGGGGCATAAAGAGAGAAAAGAGATAGTTTGGGTAACAGAAAAAATAATATTTTCATATCATTTGGAGGCACAATGTAGAGAAATTAAGTCTTAAACGACTATGTCTCAAATGGGGGCGGTTGGAGAGTAGATCACTTTAATGGGGGGTCTACTGCCCTTTCCAATCGACCCCGGTGGACACACCGCTATTTACACGTTGTTTTTATGCCTTACTTTAATATATTTCAGTATTAAAGAGCCTACGTATGTACAAATGGTAAAATTATATTTGTTTTTTTTTTTGTTTTTATTGGCTTCATGATAGGATAACTGATTAATCAAGTTACTAAACATGGCTCGTATTCTGTTCGTGAGTATCCGTAGGAATAAAACAGTAGTGAAGAAAAGAGTTACAAAGTGGGGGTGTTTGGCTATATGTGCAGATTTTACAAAGAGAGATTCAAAGCATAAGGAGCTGCTAAAAGCATAATCTAAGAGGGTCTGGGGGTATGTTCCCCAGAAAATTAATATAATAATATAATTTACAGTTGCTATATAAGTCAAATATCTAAACTTTGGGTAGCACTCCTGGTTCCGACGCCTCTGTTAGGGAATTCAAATTATTAACAGTCAGATTTCAGATTATTAACAGTCAAAGTTCAGATTTGTCTTACTGTAACTTAACCTATACAATAACGAGAAGACAATTTAAACGGGGTTTGTGTAACAACTTATAAATTGTCACCGAAATGTAAACATTGGTTTTGAGATCACAGGTTCAGTTCGAAAGGTCAGAAGCGTACATTTGTGAAAACCAATTGTCAAAATTTTAAACCTGCTATGTTCTATGCATTAATTTAAATATTTCTGAAACACGAAAACCGAATACCCAGTTTACAAGTGTTAAGTACTATAGCAAATTAACTGTATGTGATTATCTCTTTATTCACCAATCCTTTTTTTTTCTTTATGTTCGATGAAACTGTCCATTTGAAATAATAACGAGTTAATCTTATCTGGCTTCTGAAATATACTCTCTACTTTGTTTGGCCCTTTTTTTTGTAATTGAAAATCGAAAGATAAGGGCTGTCAAAATCGTAAATAATAATCAACGTTAAACTGGTACACTGAGGATGACGTTGTAACG